TCCACAAGTAATAAATTAAACCAAAATGCTTACATTAGATAGTTATCACGTCATGATTGTTTAGAGATGTTTCAAGACTATTAAAAACTTTGTTAACTTGGAGTTTGTATGCAAAAAGTATAATGGCAATATAAATAATTTTCATTATAATACAATTCCTTTGACTAACATAACAATAAAACATTTCACCAAATCGAGACACTTCATATATGGAATTTAAAAGAAGTAAATTTGGAAATGAATTACTTGTCTGTAACATACCTTATAATCTAGATATCAACAAAAATGCAGTTTTTACAAAAATGTTCTAATAAATTGTCGTGTGATTTAATGTCGATTATATCACTGTTCATAATAATAACAAACGAAATATTAAGTTTGCGAATGTAACATATACTAATAAAGATAGAAAATTGCATGATAATAACATTCCTGTTTGTATCACACTAATTGATAACAATTGTTTTAAGAATTGTGCCGATATAAACAGTATAAATATACATACAACTGTAAAATCAATTAAACCTTGTTGTTTCAAAGGTTGTCGTAATTTGAGTAAAAATAGCCATACCATTAAATGTCTCATTATTTGGAGTTGGTTGGTTTGATGAATGTATTAATCTAAAAAATATAAATATACCATCAAATTTTTTATCACTTGGTTATGTGTGTTTTTGTAATTGTAACACTTTGAGTAGTATAACAAAACCATCACTGGTAACTATGATTTAAGAAAACTGTTTTAATCAATGCAGCGAATTGAAAAATGTTTTATTCGCATCAAATGTGAAATCAATTGGTAATAGTTGTTTTTGTGGATGTACAATTTTAAAAACTATAAACATATTATCAAGTGTCACTAAAATTGGAAATGAACGTTTTAAAAATTGTGTAAAACTGAGTTCTGTGATTGTTTCAAAAAGCATTAAACGAATTAATATGAACAGTTTCTTTGGATGTAAAAATTTACAATATGTCAATATTCCTTTGGGTGTCAGAAAAACAAAAGATTTTAATTTTATTGGATGTGGTTGTCTAAGCTCTTTAAATATACCAATAACTGTTTTATCAATCAGTGATGGCTGTTTTAGTAAATGTTTAAACCTGGATCAAATAACAATCCCATCATCTGTTATTTTAATTGGCCAATATTGTTTTAGTAATTGTGATAAATTGAGTAGTGTAAACCTTTCATCAAGTGTTACAACAATTAAAGACGGCTGTTTTAGTGAATGTTTTAATCTGAAGAGTGTAACAATACCTCAAAACGTTGTTTCAATTGGTAATTATAGTTTCAGTGGATGTTTAAAAATAAGCAATGTAATAATACAATACAAAGTAGAATCAATTGGTGATTATTGTTTCAGTAGATGTAGCAGTTTAAGTAGTGTTATAATATTTTTCAAGTGTGAAATCAATTAGTTATTGTTGTTTTTCTGGGTGTGTTATTAGTCTAAGCAGTTTTACATTGCCATAAAACGTTATAACAACAGGCAAATATTGTTTTCCATCAGACACCATAGTTCATACAACAGAGTAAACCAATTATTATATATTTTTTTAAATAGTGAAAATAATATGGTTCATTTTTTATCTTTTTCGAGTAAATGTTTATTACAAAAATGAGGGTTAAGAAAAAAGGAAATTATTTAGAAATTATTTTTCTAAAAAAGCGGGGCATCCCAGTACAGAGTTCTGAAAAACATTTTGTTTTAAAGATATTAATCAGAACTATTGAAAATCAATTCAAACCAAACTTACCATAAAAACTATTCAATTACCTTCTTTGATGTCAATTACCATATAAAGTTAATTTAATTTAAAAACAAAAATAATTAAGTTATTTTTACATTAATAATAAACATTAAATATATTATAATTTATCAAACAAAAACTGTATTTAAAACTTTCAAAATTATTGTTAATATGGCATATGATATACTTTTTAATTATTTCAAGGTTTGACATCTTTTATATTAAGGGATTATTATATTGTTTACTTTATAAAATTAATAAACAATATAATATTTATGATAAATATACTATAATATAATTCATTGTTTATTTTTACAAATTTTGAATAGAAGTTGTTGAGAACTTTGTTAAGATCATCAACGCTTTTATTTTTTTTATTATTTAATGTTTTTCTTTATTATTATTTACTAAAAAGTCAAAAACTGACATACACAGACACACAAAAAATAAAAAATTCAAATTATTAACTTCTTCTATGTTTAAACACAAATAGAGTTATCAAACTCATCGTAAGCACATTCTAAATCATCTTCTTCGATAATTTCTTACTTTTCAAGTTCGGCAATTGTGGCTTTTCTCTTTTCAACTAATTGTAAATCTTGCTCTTTTTCTTCTTCAAAATTCTCTCCGAGTTTTTTTTTCATAAACAACAAGGCGTTCCGAGCAATAAACTTGACTCTTGTTATATACATTTTTTCTCTTCCTTTTATTATTGTTTTTTGATAACTTCTAAACCCTGCCCGATTGAAAGCACACGTAATGTTGAGACCACTTGTCGCTCTATCCCTGGAAGTAACAATTGATACAATTCGTGTTGTCATGTTACTCAAAGCAAACTGTTCTAATTGTGCTTTGGTATAAGTCCCTCTCTAAAGACAATTTAACATTTTTGTGTTTTTCGTTTTAGCACTTTTTTCCGTTTTTACAATAGTGGCCAAAACAGTAGATGTTTCTGTTAATTCAATCGGTCTTACTCCATCGCCTACCCCATCCATTTAAATTGCATATTTTTAACTCTGGATAATGTATCCATTTCTAATAGTTAATTTTATAATTAATAAACCAAATAACAAACTTTTTGATTTACAAAAACTACAAAATCTAATGGTTGTGTTAAATGACTCAAGTGTAAACATGGTTTAA